AAATATCATGCACATTAAATAATCAAGTTATCATCATATGCATATAAACACATCATGCAAATATCATGGATAAAATACTTTTGTAATAATCATGTATATATCYCATAAAAATCGCATAATGTACTCACCTTGAATTGTTAACGTTCGATAGGTCGTTCTCTAAAAAACGACAACCTACATGATAATTTATATCATTCCTAAACATCTTAAATAATCGTAATTAAATTGATTACTATTTCTTAACAATCTTAACACGACTTTTCTTAACATTCTTCTATTGATCAACCCCCGATACCATCATGTCTCATGTTGCGCTTGAATATTTTCTTGAAATATTATTAATAATGTGATATCGCCATAATATTAATTGTTGTTCGTACATTTTATAAAAATGTGCAATGCACTTCACATTTTCATGAGCAATAAGTATTTTAACAAAATAACTAAACCAAATAGTTTGGAACGTAAATAATGTTTTGTGACCAAAACGTTTCGTTTAAGATTTGCAAGTAAATAAAGGTGACAACATGTCACACACATATAAATAACGGTCATTCAATAACTTTAAAGTTCAACATAATTAATACTCGAAATAATATTTAGAATACCAATTTTTCCAAGTCTAGGGCATTTCGGTAATCTTAAGAAGCTGAATACCAAAGGTATAACTTTAACCAATTCCCTAATTTAGAACATTCTTGGTACATATTATAAGTCGAATATCAAAACTATGCTTAAAAGTCCAATCCCAAAGCATAGGGTCATTTTGGTAATTTTATTAAACAATACTCAAAGTATTGTTAAAATATCGATTCCCTAATTGTGAGGTCATTTTGGTAATTTAATAAGGATAATAATCAAAATAAAGCATAAATACAAATTCCCAATACATAGGTCGTTTCGGTAAATTTTAAAGCAATTACGTAAAGTATCGCTAAAATACTGATTTCCAAATTGTAGGGTCATTTTGGTAATTTCATAGGGATTAGATTTAAAATAACACTTAGATACATATTCCCAAGACCTTGGGTTATTTCGGTAATTTTATAAAGCAAATACGTAAAGTATTGCAAAAATACCGATTTCCAAATATAAGGTCGTTTTGGTAATTTTATAAAAATAATAATATAAAAATGAAACTCATAAACCAATCCCCAAGATATGGTTATTTCGGTAAATTATTGAAGCAAATACGTAAAGTATTGCTAAAATATCGATTTCCCACTTATAGGGTCATTTTRGTAACTAAATGAGATAAATAATCAAAAATTGGTCAAAATTTGCATTTTACAAAATACAAATAAATCAAATGAAAGTTTCATAAAATTTATATAGAGAAATTTAATTCCTAAAATTGCAGGTGTTAAAAGCAAAGCTCAGATGTATACTGAATATTAAAGATATAAACGCAAATAAAATAACAAACCTCATACATAGCCTACTGGCTAACGTGTTGGGGCATTTGTGTGAGGTCGCGGGTTCGAAACTCGGCTTCAACGCTCACCTTCCAATTAATTTTTAATGAAAAAGAATACGGGTACTGGGTCGGGCCGATCCGGTCCGTGACCCAAGTTGAAACCAACAATGAAAACAACAAAGAACAGCACGTGACTAAGACCCAAAACTGCAGCCATTGCTGCGCGTTTTCAAGCCATTTGAGCTTGAAAATGGCTCGTTTCTTGATCGTTTTTCTTCATTCTTTTTACGCCAAACTCTTGGTAATATTTTTACCAACACTTTGACATAAAGAACACGAATTTTCATCAAGAAATGAGTTCCATTTACTCATTTAAAGTTTGTTTTTAAAACTAAAACTTAACAAATTAAAAACATAAAAATCGAACAACGAAAACACAAATATGAGATATGAGGCTACTAGGGTTTGATAGAGTACTTAAAAACGAAGGTATAGACATAAAAATCAAGAGATTTGGTTAAAAATCTCACCCAAAATCGGTGAAAAACCGAGATTTTCGATCCCGAACTTCAAACTCATATTTCTCTCTCAAAACTCAACAATTTTTCGAGCTATTTGAACCAAAACGTTCCTAAGCCAGAGCTCTACAATTTATATACCAAGAGTTTTGGCTTATTAGTTGAAGAAATCGGACAAATCGCGAGTTTTAGGCTAATGGGTCGTTTTCTCAAACAGTTATGTACTTTTGGCAAAACAGGTCCCTCATCTTTGAAAAAGATGACATTCGGCC